GAGCCGCCGCCAGAGGCAGTCGATCGATGAGCGCCCGGAAGGAGGGGAGGGGAGAGAGGAGGGGTTAGGGTTCGAAGGCTCGGCGCTCGGCTGGCCAGGCGGCGTCACTTCCGGCCGGGCGTCAGGGGGCCGCCGAGCGGGGGAGGCCGTTGCGCGGGGATGGCCGCCAACCAACCGCCGCCGCCGAAGCCCTGGGAGAACCGGCGACTGTGAGTTACCGCCAGGTCCTCCGCCGAGCCTCCAAGAAGGCCTTCCCTTCTCCAAGACGTCCCCGGGGGCTCCCACGGGGAGGGGGGGCGGAAGAGGGAGGAGAGAGAGCGCTCTCCACATGCCCAGGAGCCCCCTTGACAAGGCTGTGAAGTGGCCTCAGGGCGAGGGTTGGGTTGGTTTCTTTTTAATTGGGGGGCGTCGTCGTCCTTTAGGCCCTCCACCTTGGTCAAAGTAGGATAGGAGCCCATTTATTGAAAGGTTTTCCTTTAAAAAGGACCCAAGGCGGCTGATAAGCTTTTTTTTAAAAAACAACAATGTTTTATTGATTTACTTATTTTATTAGAGTTATACCCCATCCATCGAGAAAGTGGGTATAAGTTTGGAGGTTGAAAGATGGCAAATAGGCGAGTGTAGGGATTTGAGAAATGCTGTATCTGAAATGGCAATAGAAATCGATACGAAAAACAGATTTAAAAGTAACCGAAAGTGCAAAGTCTCCTGGTGTTAAAATCCATCTCAAAGCAGCCATATTTGCAAGAATAAAACCTGCCTGGAGAGAGAAAGGTCTTCTTCCACTGCTAGCGGAAAGACAACAAACACGGGGCCAGCCTGGCCTCCTGTGGGAGGGAGTTCCATAGTCTCTGGGAGCAGCCACAGAGAAGGCCTTCTCCCTGTGTAATTATTTATTTTATTTAAAATATTCTTTTTACCCCGCTTTTCTCCTTGAAAAGTGCCCAAGGCAGCTTACTGCAGTGATGGTATTTAACGTTGAAAGCAGTGAGTCTACAACAGTGGTTGACATCGTTAAAAGACAATATTTAAACCTAAGAACAAGGAGTATAAAGAGGCAGCTTGCATCATTAAAGGGCAATATTAAACCTCAGAACATGAAGTATCCATTTTTTTTAAAAAAACAGTGCAACTCTGAGAAATAGAAAACACAAGTAGCACTAAAAATCCAGTCAGAGTGGTAATGTAAATTTTTTACAGCGATGGTAAAAAAAACCCATCTAAAATCCCCCACTCATACAACCAGTTGCTGAGAGAAAGCTTGCCTGCAGAGAAAGGTCTTTTATCTGCTTGCGGAAGGACAGCAAAGAGGAAGCCAGCCTGGCCTCCAGTGGCAGGGAGTTCCAAAGTCCGGGAGCAGCCGCAGAGAAGGCCCTCTCTGGGGACCCTACCAAGTGCACCCGTGAGGGTGGTGGGACTGAGAGAAAGGCCTCCTCTGATGATCCTAACACCCAGCCGGTAATGGGAGATGAGAGGTCTTTGAGATCGCTTGGACCGAAGTTGTTTAGGGCGTTATAGGTTAAAACCAGCACTTTAAATTGTGCCTAGAAACAGATGGGCTGCCAGTGAAGATGCTGGCTACAACAGTGGTTGACATCGTTAAAAGACGGTGTGTGTGTGTGTGTGAGAGATCCCAGTGACCACCCCAGTTAGCAGTCTGGCTGCCGTTGTTTTGGACCCACTGAAGTTTCCTAATATTCTCTGTAGGCAGCCCCAACATAGAGCTTGTTATAGTAATCCAGACGGGATGTAAGTAAGGCATTTGCCACCATGGAATGGGTGCAATGGGTGCACTAGTTTTAATTGAGCGGATGCACTCCTCACCACCCCCAAAACCTGACCGTTGAGGTTCAGAGACAGATCCAGGGGCACCTCCAAGCTGAGGGAGACCAAGCTCTGTTTTCAGAGGGAGGTTTTTGGAATGAACTCTGTGGAATTCCCCATTGCCATCGCTGGAGCCTTTTCATCCCAACCCTTCCCACTTACAGTTACAGGCGGAAACCACCTTATCATCTTCGTCCCTCTTTTTTCTTGCCCCCTCCATTCATGAGTTTGACAGGGAGGAGAAGAAACAGGAGAACTCCACTCCCCCTGCTTTTTCCTTTATCATAATAATCCCATTATTGGGGACTCCCTTTTTTAAAAATAAAAGTACTTTCTTTAAGAGGAAGGCAGGGTTATATATATATATATATTTTATTTTTGTTTTTTGGCCCATAGGAACCAATGGACCTGTCAAAATCTGACAGCTCCATGCTTTCCTATGGGGGAGAAAACAATTTACAAAAAATTAACGAAAGTTCAGATCAAAGCCAAATCAGGTTTGCACATGACTTAAGGGGTCCTCTAACGAATCCAAGCATTTAGAACCGTTTTGGACCATTCTAAGACACTTTTTAAATTGAAAACAAAAACATCGTTAAGTGAAGCAGGGGACCTAAAACCAAAAACGTTAAGCGAAGCATAGTCCCAAAAACGCTATGCGAAAATCGCCCATAGGGAAAAACGTTATACGAAGCACAATCTGACTCTGAAAAAATAAACGTTAAGCGAAAAAAACGTTAAACGAAGCAAACGTTATGCGAGGCACCATATATAAATGGTAAGATTTAAAAATGCTTCATCTATTATTATGGGATGTGCTTTTCTTTTCTCCAGAGCCCCTAAAACAGATTTATCAAGGTCCCTATCTCTTGAATACTGTAATCTAGTATCTGTTGCCTCCACATGCATGGGGCAGGCTACACTTTGGCAAAGTGGGGGAAAGTTGTGTGGAGAGCACCATTTCATAAAGATTTGGTAGCATGGTCATTTTAGGAACCTCATGAATATATTATTTTTTAAAATAATCCATACCTGGTTTTTATTTCTGCACGCTTTGGACTCTGTCTGCAACATGTGCTCATAAATGCATGTGGGGATTGGAATAGCCTCGTGTTGTGTGGGTTAAAGTTCCCCATGTCTAGTTTTAGAACCTGAAAGATTCGTTTAGGCAATATTCATACAAAACCTCACCTCATTTTACCATGTGTTATGTAATCATTTACTCATTATAAAGGGTGTGTGTAGGTGTTATGCATGTAGATGTGTGTATGTGTGTGTATTGGTTTTCCACACCATCTCCACGAGACATTTTTTCCTCCCTTGTGCAGTTTCCAGTAGTCCACAAGTTCTCCACGTCCTGATGCCTTCAAAGATTGCTCCTCTGATTGCGTCCGTCCCCTTGCGATAATTTTTCTAGTGGGACTTTTGGTCAGTGCAAGCCACAGCTACCATTTGCTGATAGTCTGACATGTTCTCAGCCCTGCTTTCCCACCCAAATAGGTGTGGTTGGAACAAGAGCTCTGGAGTAATAATTATTCCTTATTTGTGTTATCTCGGTAATTAAGGTTACATAACTTCTATCTTCAGGTAAGCTGAATTTGGTAAGATTTAGCTTCCGATTTAGCCTATAAGACCATGCTGTAAACTTATTTCATGGTAGCCTGACTAGTTTCCAAGAACTGCATAAATATCCATCTGATTGCAACTTACTGCGAACTTTTGCTGTCTGATGCCCAGACACAGCCTCTTCAGGATGGTTCTGTGAATAGATATAGGGGCTAGTGACTGGCTGTTGAATTGCTGGTAATTATAGTCTTTAATACAGTATTTGCAACCAGATGAAGATTTTATATTTGGAGTAATAACCTGTCAGATTAGTAAAACAGCTATATCAAAATGGAATATTGTTTAGTTAGATTAATTGCTTATCTTTGGAGAACTATTTAAATTGTTTTACTTAATTAAAACAATAACCTTATATAGTTTACATATTCTTGTATTTGTTTATTATCTGAAGTGGTTAAACAAATACGGTACCTTCAAAAAAAATCAACTTATGTGCACAAAGATCCCAAGATTTGTAAGCTGCTCAGGTTTCACTTTCATTTTTACTGCTTGCCCCTCCCTCCTCACACTTAGACCCTGGTACAGATGTATTTCACTCCAAATGGGCTTAAAACTTACTGTCCAGCGAAGATCCTCCATATGGCGGCCATTTTCGCTGCCTGTATAGCGAGGAATCTGTCCCTAAACACAGGGGGAACCATTTTATTTACCTGGCGGCCATTTTGAAATCAGCTGTTGAAAAGTCATCGTTTTGTGGAGAATCGGTTCCCGAAGCAGGGAACCGATCATCGCAAAGCGAAATTCTCCCATTTAGACCATCATTTTGCGATTGCAGTTGCGATCGCAAAAAGATAGTCGTAAAGTGGATTCGTCGTAATGCGGGGCAGTCGTAAAGCGAGGCACCACTGTATATGCTCTGTCCAGTCAAGGACAGTTGGATGATAGCGTGGATGGTAAAAAAAGCAGATCAATGTGGGAAATACCAATTGATTTCTTCTAATTCTTTTACAACAGCCTTCATCCATCTACTTCATTGAGAAGTAGTGGCTGCCACTTTTTATCTAAATCCACAACAGCTCGGGTTAAAAATTAACGTGAGTCTACCAGGCAGGAATCCATAAACACACTATCACCATTTACATGTTGTTCCTGATTTAAAAAAAAATATTGCTCCTGCTGTGACTTTTGGACACACTCATCCCAACAGAGGGGTGAGAACGCCTTGTCCAGATGTGGTTGGGCTCCAGTTCCTATCAAATCCTACTCTCATCGCCATGAGTTGCGAGCAGCTGGCTACCTGTGTGCTCCTCACACGTACTAATGGTGCAAGCCAGTTATCTGCGGTCTTTGTTAAATATTAGCATTCCTGTTTTCCCTCAGTTTAAAAAAAACAGGTCAGAAGAGCTGCACGTGGATGATTTCGACATTGTTGGCCTTTATTGATCTATATTGTATAGCTCAAATCCATCCTTTAAATCCACCCTTTGAGACTACTGTCTCAAAAGGAGATTCATTGCTACCGTTAGTGCCAGTTTGTAAACATACAGGGTGAGTGGAGAGCGGGCCTGGCGTGGCTAGATTTTGCTCCCAGGTTGAGAAAGTTGGCCCCAGATCTGTTGAAATTGCCCACCCCACAACAGAGCTGAGTTTTTCTGTTACTATTATTATCATTATTACTTTTATCCTACCTTTTCCCGGTGAGGCCAAAGCAGCACACATCACAGTTCCCCCTCTCCCCTGGTTTATTCTCATTGCATGCCTGTGAGCCATGTTGGGCTGAGAAAGACAACCTCCAGGTTTCCCAGTGCTTCCAGGGTGCTGTAGTGGATAATATGATGGACTCAGGAGACTTGGGTTCGAATCCCTGCCTGGCCATGGAAATTCATGGGGGTGGGGTGGCCCTGGTAAAATTTTCCTTTCTTTTTCTTTATACTGTATTCTTACTGTGCGTTTCTCCTTCAAAGGAACCAAGGCGACTTACATCATTAAAAGACAGTATTTAAAAGCTAAAAACAGTAAGCATACAAATATTTTAAAAAAGAATTGAACAAGCATTGTATTAAAAATTGTAAATACAATCAAGACTAAAAACAGATTTTAAAGCAACAGAGCGCAATGATCAATTTTTTTATTTAAAAGCTAAAAACAGTAAGCATACAGATATTTTAAAAAAGAATTGAACAAGTATTGTATTAAAAATGGTAAATACAATCAAGACTCAAAACAGATTTAAAAGCAACAGAGCGCAATGATCAATTTTTAAAAAACTCTTTATTTTGAAAGCCCCGTTAAGGTTGCTATAAGGGGGTTCCATTCTGACTACACATTGCGCACTCCCTTCTCAATGCTACCCACGGTGTGACTGTGATTGCGTGGCAATCCTGGGAATGGTAGTAGAAAAAGTGATTTTTCCCCTCAATGACTGTCTGCCATCTGCGTTTTGGAGGAGTTGTGGAAGGAGGGACTGCCGAGAACACGAAACCACCTTGGGTACTAACCATGGGCTTTGTTGTTTCCAGAGCGGCCGATGTGGGGGCCAGCCCACTGAGTAGGCCGGGGCAACCCACGCTGACTCGGGTGCCCCCTCCGGTAATGCCAAGACCATCACAGCAGACCAGTGGCACCGCCCTGAACACCTTCCGGCCTGCCTACAGCAGCTCTTTTTCATCAAGCTATGGCGGCTATGGAACCGGCATGTTTGGGAATTCCTTTTACGGGAGCTACAGCCCTTACAGTTACGGCTATGGCGGCCTGGGTTACAACCGGTTTCGGATGGATGACGTTCCTCCCAGCCGATTTGTCCAGCAAGCTGAGGAAAGCAGCCGGGGGGCCTTCCAGTCCATCGAAAGCATCGTGCACGCCTTCGCCTCCGTGAGCATGATGATGGACGCCACCTTTTCGGCCGTCTACAACAGCTTCCGAGCCGTTTTGGATGTCGCCAATCACTTCTCCCGGCTGAAAATCCACTTCGCCAAGGTGTTCTCGGCCTTTGCTTTAGTCAGAACTATAAGGTACCTCTACAAGCGGTTGCAGAGGCTGCTGGGTCTGCGGAAAAGCTCAGAGAATGATGATTTGTGGGCGGAAAGTGAAGGGACCGTGGCTTGTGTCGGTCCCGACGAAAGGGCCGCCAACGCCACCAAGTCCTGGCCGATTTTCTTGTTCTTTGCTGTCGTTCTCGGGGGACCCTACCTCATTTGGAAGCTGCTGTCTACCTGTGCCGAGGATGAAACAGGTAAGAGTTTTCTTCAGTCAGGATGATGGAAGAAGCCTTTAGTCTTTCCTCTTTCCTGTAGAATGCATGGTAATAAGGAGAGCACAATGAACCTTTAGTGCGTGTGGAGCCAAGATGTTAATATAAGTATTTTATAGCATTTATAGCACCTACATTTAGTGCTCACTAAACTAAATTCTGCTTTTGCGTGTTAATTATTTCTGTGTATATTCTTGTTACTACTTAAAAATAAGCTTTCCTGCCATGTTTGTATTTGTTTTATTGATCTACTGGTGTTATTTTGTCTAAAAAAGTTTTTAAAAGCAAAAAACTAGTTATCTGTCTTCTTTGGGGGGAAAATTACTATCTAAGCCCATGGTTCTTGATGTTTGGTCCTCAATGTTCTGGATTTCAACTTTTGATCATCAGCGTGGCTAATGATCAAAAATCCTGGCAGTTGAAGTCTGGCCATATGTTTCAAATCATTGATCTAAGCAGTGGGTTTAGTTCCATTGTAGAAAATGAACTTTTTAGGTCTTTCATCTGCTTTTTTAATGCAAAGCAAAGCAAAGTATGCTGCTTAAATATCACCCCATAGCATTTAAAGCACTATCTGGGCTGTTTACAATTCAGTTATTCAGCCACCTCCCCCCCAGCAAACTAGGTGCTCAGTTTACTAACCTCAGAAGGATGGAAAGCTGAGTCAGTTTTGAGCCAGTTACGTGAGCCGGTTTGGATTGAACTCAGGTTGGAAGCAGAGTCTTGACTGCAGTACTGCAATTTAACCACTGTGCCACAGGGCTCCTCATGTAAAACCACAGACTCCAGCCCTTGGAATAGCTTTCTCTAGCCTGGTTGGTTTTGCAGTTGCAGACCAAAGAGAAGGCTGTGCTTCTACCCAGTGTTAGATTAAAAACTGTATACAGTATATGCCAGAGCTTGAAAAGTTATTTTTTGGATGCCCAGAATTCCCTGGGTATCACTGCCCATGCCAGCTGGATGTTTCTGAAGGCTGTGCTTCCAGAAAAGGTAAGTTTTGAAGCTCCAAACATGCTCCACGTTAAGCATAAACAAATTCTCCCTAAAATGCTGTTGAGTAAGTTACCGTATTTTTCTGTTTATAAGACGATCCAATGTATAAGACACCCCCCTTTTTTTCTAACCCCAAAATTAGAAAATTTGATCCCCGCGGGGCTTAGGAAGTGGATAAAGCAGCTGTGAAAGGGCTGCACAACCGCAGCCCTTTGATCCTGAAGCCCTTTCATGGCTGCTTCAGGATCAAAGGGCTGCGATCCTGCAGCCCTTTCACAGCTGCATTACCCGAAGGGAGACTTTCTTCCTTTTTGCTAAGCCCCATGGCTTCACAAAAGGAAGGGAAAGTGGCAGCACGACCCTCAATTTCTTGTCTAATTATTTAAGGAAAAGGTGTCGTTTTATACACGGAAAAATATGGTATATGAAAGATAGCTCAAGCGTGGTTTCTGCCATTAGCAGTTTCCTTCCTGTATCCATGGATTGACATGCTAATCTGGCAAGGTGGTCCACAGTAGTTAACTAGCCACCTACATTAGTAGGACACCCAGCTGGTATCTCTTTTATACTGATGACCTGAGAAACACTGCCTTGTGTTTAACCAAAGCATTTGTTGCCCATTCGGCTAGGGTGATCCCATTGAACAGGAGGCCAGCCAACTGGCTGTTTATAAGGCTGATGATTAGCTCACAGAGTGTCCCTAAAATAAGTATCCATGTAAACCTCTGATATTTTGCAGATGACCTGAAATATCTTAATTCCACTAAACACTGTGATGGCTGCAGCTCTTGCTTGATAGGGTTTACTAGGCAAGGTGCCGTTTAGCAAGACCACTACAGCTACAACATCCTTTCTTGTAAACTGGGAGGCATCCTTGGGAATGCTTACCTCCTTCCAAGAATTATTTTTGTCTGTTGTCCGCACACCTTCTTACTAGACTTACTGCCCCCCCCCCTACTCCTTCCTGCATGAGTTCTTTTCTCTATCCCTGCCCTTTTCAGCCTTAATCATATATCAATGTTCCAACCGCTGATGGGGCTAAACAGTGTTTCTAAAGCTGCTTCAAGTCTTGGTTAAAATGGGAAGTGCTAATTAATTATGGTATTTCTGGGCAGGCAGTCTTGATGCAAAAGAATATTTCTCAGTCTGCACCCCTGTGAAAAGGCAGTGCAGGTCTACTGCCGGGCAGGAATTTTTAAAGAGCATTTAGGAACAAGATTGGGCTGCTTATCATCTTAGTTTTGTATGAAGGAGAGGAGGAAACTGAAGGGGATTTAATGATCACAGATATTCTTGAGGATTGCAGTCTGTAACATTAAAAAGAGATTGCAAAAATGATAATGAGTTGGTATCCCTAAAGGAGTTTATGATTCCAGTGTTTCTGTGGATCCCTGTGCAGTCTTAGACAACAACTGTTGGGGCAGAGACGACACAGGTATAATTTGAATGATAAAATCAAGAGGAACTAAACACTTTATCTCAGTGATTTCCTCACCCTCTCAGAAAAGTCTCTTTAGCTTAGGAATGCAGTACGACAGGGTTATATGGCGTCAGATCAGTTACTTGTAATGGAAGTGATTTCGACATACTGTCTTACTATCACCACTCTAAACAAAGTTCTTTCTTTTCAGCTTGGAGGATAATCTTCACCAGGTAGCGAATGGACATGAACTGCTGGTTTGGCGGTTTGTGGTGTTTCGTTTAGCGGCTAGACAGGTGTTCGGCGCTTCAAAGCCCCACCTCCTCCAGTTAGTGCCCACTCGAAGGCAACGACTTGGGCTCCCTGCCCCACCTTCTCTGAGCACTGCCTCTGAGTGGGCACTTGCCAGAAGAGGTGTGGCTTTGAAGCACCAAACACCTCTTTGGTTGCTAAACGAACCAGCACGAACCGTCAGACGGTCAGTTCGTGCCCATATCTGGTTACAAGTTTATCACTTGGCTCATGAGTAGACATTGCTCTTGGCACCTTGAATCCATTGCTCAAGCCTGTACTAGGCTTTGTGTCACATTGCTTCTTACAAGGGGTTGTACTCGTCGAACACACTCATTAACTCTCTTTCTCACCTCCTCTGTGGAACAGTTTCCAGTAACTGGGCAAGTGGAGAAGACGATCATGTTGTCGGGAGAGCAGAATATGACTTTAGTGCTGTTTCGGAAGAAGAAATTTCTTTCCGTGCTGGTGAAATGCTAAAATTGGCACCAAAAGGTAAGTTCATTGTGATTCTCACCCCCGTTCCCAACAGGCAGTGCAGAATGTGTGGGGATCCATAGAAACATTGTCTGGGTTAGCTAAACTGTAGAAAGATTGATTGGGGGCTTTGGGTGGCCAGCGGATCAGTCCTCGGAAGGGCAGGAGCCACTGCTTATTGCAAGCATTGACCCATCTATTTCCCTAGTTTGCATGGTTCTGTAGCAGTTTCTGTGCCTGTGATCTTAAGATTTGTTGCGTAATTTTTATCAGTGCTTCAGCCCTGGAGATGCAGGGCCAAACACGTGGCCGGTTCTATCAAACGTGTTAAACGTTCATCCCATCCTTCGCTCCTGGTCATGTGCAGCTTGGTTTTGCTGTCCTGGTTTTCTCCTTCTAGCAGCCCCTCTTAATTTCTTGAAGCTGCCCCCGTATGCCCTGTCTTAGGCTTTCTGCCTTGCTCTGTTATTATCCACCAAGAACTCTTGTCTTCTCATGCTTAACAGATCAGCAGAGTCTTTAAATCAGCTTGCAAATAAGACCCCAACGTTTTCTCCCTGCAAGCTGAAAGGCTGGCAGAAACATTGCTTACCTACTTGTCGTACTGTTTGTTGTTTAGTCATTAAGTCGTATCCGACCCCATGGACCAGAGCACGCCAGGCCCTCCTCTCTTCACTTGTCATACTGCCCAAGTCTTAACAGCCCCTGCTGTGCATGGATGGGATGAGGGGCACTGTCTTTTTAAAATCTGTTTGGTTTCTATACTGGATGCAGAGGGGGGTTAGCGTGTGTCCCCCCCCAGTCCCCTTACGTGTTTGAATGCAATTTCTTGTCACCTAAGGCTACCTGGCTAGTGTTTAAATGCAAAGCTGATCTAAATATAGTTTTAAAAACATATTCTGTTAAAAGGAATGCAATGTATTTGGATTCAGTTTCTGGAACTTATACTAGCTTCCAGTTTATGAGATTTGCTAATCCTTTCTGAATCTCTTACCTTTGATTTACTTTGGATGTAGTCCAAGTCCTTTATTTTAAGTGTCTGTAATTTGATCGTTGCTTTTATCTTTACATCTCTAATGTTGTTTCACGTGGTTTCCATTCACGCCTTGAGAATTTCGAGTGGGTCACACAAACATCCAACCAGACCGGTCTTTGTGGAGCTCTTCAGCTACTTTGCCAGCTCTGCATCTGGTGTCTTGAGCTCTTCCGCTAACTGCAAATTTCTTTTCTTTCTTACCAGAACAACAGCCCAAAATTCGTGGGTGGCTTTTGGCCAGTCGTGATGGCCAGACAACAGGACTTGTGCCGGCTAATTATATCCGAATCCTTGGCAAAAGGAAAGGGACAAAGACCACAGACCTGGAGAAGATGGCAGAGCATCAGTCAGCTGTCCCCAAGACCACCTTGGTTCCTGGAGCCACTCCTTCCGACACTCTGGAGGAACAAGAAGCTGCCTTTGAGTCTGTGTTTGTGGAGACTAATAATAAAGTTCCCGTCACATCCGGCTCTGCTGTGCTTGGGGGAGATAAACAAGACCTTTGATGGGTTGAGAGATTAATGAAAGTGCTCAGCATGTACTCACCAGTAATGGTATAGGGTAGATGTTCAGTAGCCTAAAGAGGAACATTTGACATTGACTGTATTGGGACAACTTGTTATTCACACCTGGTAGAGGTGGGATGTTCTTGGCTTTCATCCTGTGCTTAGTTCATTCAAGGTTGGATTCAGCATCCCAGAATCACTGTTATTATCTCAGGCATGGGGTGGTCAGTCGGGAAGGCTTGGCACCTCCTCCCACTCCATTGAAGGAGCTGTGCATCAAGGTACTTGAGAGACGCTCTCTGTTTCGAAGTCCTCCCTGGTGACTGAGAAGTCGGTGGTCCCATGAGAGGTTGTTTTCAGAGTTAAAACGCATAGAGATAATTTTCAGTTATTAATACGCTGAACTGACAAGTGGAAGGGTCTGATTTTTCAGTTTTGGGGTTGAGCTTCTCTTCTTAAACCAAGGTTTACCAGTGGTGGCCCTCCAGTTTGTTTTTGAATTGGACCACAGCTCCCATAATCCCTCCTCACCAGCAATGCTAGGTCATGCTGATGGGAGTTGTTGGCTAAAATCATCTGGAGGACCACAGTTCCACACCCTTGTCTTAAACTATTTATGTAAGGTGGAAGGAGAATCTCTGGATTGCGGAAATGTCAGGAACCAGGAAAATCTCTAGGGAGAAAGGTTAAGGCTTCCAGTGGTGTGGTGTTCTGTATGGAAGGTGTTTTAGAAGTGGCAGCAAATGAACCTAACTGTAGCCCCCAGAAGATGTCTACTGCCATTTCATTTGGCCTTTGTCCGGCCTGTATCCCTGCAGTTGAAGCCCCAGGTCATCTTTGCCTAAACTGGTTGGTGCTTGTTCTTCAGCCAGAAAAGCTACATTGCTTTTTCCTTCCAGCTCAAGCATGGTAGACCTTGAACCTGCCAATTAACAAGTTTGATCTCACAATAGTTCAAACTTAACACGCAACCAGATTTGTGTGATTAAAGCTGGGCCTGCCACTGTCACACATGCAGTGTAAGCCTAAGTGAACACTAACGATTATAGCTAAATCTTTTTCATTTATTTGTTCCCTCAGAATGACAAGTGTAAGCTATTTAGTTTTCCAGTTCACACTCTGTGGAGGAAACCTGAAGCATTTGGTGTGCTAAGAACAAAGCTCAGTATTTACTCCTGAGAAATGAGATATACATACAAAGCCAGACTGCAACCAGTAAAAATCATGTTTACTACTATATACTATATTATTCTGAAAAGATGGATACAAATCCAAATATGTTCTGAAAAGATTAGTGATAAGAAATAATTTCAGGTTGTAACTTATTATTCATACTCTGAAGCTCTGCATTGCCTATAGTTAAAAATATTTTGATTTTCTATTCTTACAGAATTACATATTCACCTTCTCAGCCCACTGTGAAATAAATTATTTTCTAAAACGAGCCTTCTGACTCATTTGCATCTTGGATTTTCTGAATCTTAAATCAAAATCCTTCTATAGAGCACCTTTTTTGCAGTTTCACAAGGCACTGAGAATTATGATAACTCATGGATTCACTCCCACTTTGTTCTGAGCGATTGTGTTTGGTGTGGTAAATTACAGCACAGGTAGCAGTAGTTTGCAAAGCTGGATCATACTGATGAAGATTGTTTCCAAAACAAGTTTCATTCATTCACAGTATAACTGACTACTATATGGATTAGCTGACTCTGTTTAATAATGCGGCAGTATAACAATGGCTTCTGATAAAAAAAGTTACAGTTTTTGTATAGTGAGTGTGTGCAAGGCTTAGACTGGGAATAAGAAGCAAAGATTAGAATCATAAGCTTTGATCACACATAAACATCAGACTCTTGATTGTTCACTTTACTAGGTATTGAATGATCACGGTTGGGTAGAAGGTCTTCAGCTGCAGAGTTGAGCCACAGTAAATTTAGTTAGGCCCTTTTTTTGTATGTCTTAACACCTGAGATTTTGTTTCACTTTTCCAAGTGTGTATGAAAAATTCAAGTTGAAGGAGGAGAATACTGCAAATTGTCATTAATCTCCAAATCTGTTCAGTTTGTAAAACCTAAATGTTATACAGTAGTTTAATTTTCCTAATAATAGGAAACTAGCAGTAGGCCCAAAAGTGTTTGCTTATGAATACATCAATATTGGCCAAAATCCTGTTTGTTGTGTCTATGAGAATAACATGGACAGTGTAACAAATGGGGGACAGTTGCTGAGGGTTATGAAATCAGAGTGGACATTTTCTGTTGTGTATCAAGTCGCATAACTCTTGTGTGCAGTGATAACGTCCACTCTGCGAAAAGTTACACCATTCACATTAACCCAGAAACAGAACGTTGGCCATTGTTTCAGTGATTATTTCAGCCCAATGCTAAAAATATGTACTTGTGTGTCATCAGATTTGATGGGGCTTGCTGCTAAGAAGTATATTTGGATTTTGTATGTCTTACTTTGAACTTGTTTGACTGTAATAACGTACCATATCTATGCATATCATACTTTAAATGAGATAAGTATGCATAGTGACCCTTGACCCTGACTCTTTGACTTTATACTTGTTTTAGTAGAGTCATAATGAAAATGGTTGTAATGACTTAGATGTTACAGAAGGTTTTAACATGAAGTTGGATTAACCTGCATAAATCTTTTGAATTCAGTTGAAACTTGAGTACAGTGTTCTTTCTTCCTAGAAACTTTGTTGATGCTGAAATCACAGCAAGAATAATGTTTTGAGGGGGAAAAACAGGTTTCCACTAGGTTCAACTGTATATCCCAACCATTTTTAAAACATTGGACAATATCAATTGCCTTATATACATTTTGTTTCTTGTCCTAAGCCAATAACACACACAAAAAGGACTTCCCATCTTGGAATAAGAGTACTCATCATCCTTGTTGCCCTTTTACATAGAGCTTATGGAGTTAACAGCTTACTGTGAAAATGGGGCTAAATCTGTCTGCTAGTCCCAACCAGAGTAGACACACTGAATCAGTTGGAGTTCCATAAGTGTTGACTTTGTAAGTCCCATTCATACAGTGGACCAATTCTAGTCAAGTCAAAATCTAGTTGAATTTTGCTGTTACAGAGAGTAAGTTGGTTTTATTTTTTTCAGAAAAATCAAATACCTTTAGGGGTTATGCTAGGATAGCTGTGGGATCAGGTGTTTGTTCTTTTCAGGAGACTGGGTGTTTCCTGTGAGGGTGGTTTTTTGGGGGGGTGTTGTGATAAGGGGGGAGATAATGTGTCACTGTGGTTGATGGGTGCTGTTGGCTAGTTTTTTATATGCAGTGATCACTGGTCCTTGTGGCTTCATTGACCTATTTGAAGGCTGTATTTTTCAGTGCTAGGAGCCAGGTTTTGTTGATTTTTAGACTTTCTTCTTTTAGCACTTTTAGAAATACTCTCCTGCTATTAACTATCCCACATGCTACACCAGAACACAGACAGAATTCTAGCTCCTATCCTCTGAAGATGCTGGTCACAGAGACTGGTGAAACGTTAGGAAGAAAAACCTCCAGAACATGGCCAAACCCACAACAAACATCAGATCCTGGCCATGAAAGCCTTTGAGAATACAGTATAAAAACCATTTACAGAGCAAGCTATTTGTGCCTCCCCACTTAATAAGACCTGAGAGAACAACAAAGTTATCTGAACCACCTTGCCACTGAAGTCTATAGCCACTCACCAGGTCCAGCTTGCATGTTTTTTCCCCCACTTCCTCGGCTAATCTCCCAGTCACAAGCAAGAACACACAACTTCTCTGACCTATTCTTTTGTTTGAATGGGAAATCAGCCAAGAAGCAGGGAAGCCTGGGCTGTTGCCGGGACTGGAAGATCAACTGAAGAAGTGGGGGGGAAAAAACAAGCAAGCTGGGCCTGGTGAGTGGCTGTTTGAGCCTACAAACCAGGACAAACAAGTTTGTGCCCATCTCTAGTCGATACATAGGTTATCTCCCAGAACAAGTGATCCTACCTTTATCCTTGGCAATGACTGAACTCCTTTTAACAACTAATCTGAAAATAGTATTTTTCCCCACTTATCAGTGAGCCTGTCCATACTGGCATATAGTTATGATATATGGTTCCCTGATAGCACTGTTTAGCACAGAAAAAAGAAGAACTTGTCCACTTGTGTTTCTACTTAAAATAATACATATTTTGCCTTTAAGAGCTGGTCGCATCTTTCTGGCACAGGGTTATGGAGTGCAGTCTTTTTGGGACGATTCATTGAGATGCAAAATAACACACTATTCTGCCTTCAAGGACAGGTACCTGAGTTAAAATAGAAACAGCTGGATCAAAATTTCACAGTGTGGACAGGCCCAATATCATAAGTACGTGGAAGGTGCTAAACCCAGGGTTACTTAAGTTGTCACAATGCCGATTGAATCATCATCTCACACCATCTGAACTGCAGACACAGTTTCTTGAATTTAGCTTTCCATAAAGTTCAGAGCAATCCAGGCAGGGATCGGACACGATGTAAAACTTTTGTCTGTTTATATGCATTAATATAGTGTTTGGTGCTTTTGTTAAGTTACCGAAGCAGGGTGAGTATTCTTTTCAGACCCGCTCAAAGATCTCTCGAGATATGATTTACTTCTTGATCTTTTCAGATTCCTATCAAAAAGAGAAAAGCAGGTTGTGGGGAACTGGATCATTAAGAAAATGGCAACAAGTTTCAAAATTAATATAGGTTTGTTGAGATTTCCCATGTGTAAGGATGCTTTCCCCTCTCTTCCATGGAGTGAGGGGAGTTCACGGCTCGTGTGTAGCAGATCACAAGGAAAGCCAGTTATACGATAACTCATGTAGCAGCATTTAGATCTTGAGATTTAGCTGGGCAATCTGCAAACTGTATTGGGATCAGAGATTAAAACTGGATTTCTCTGCTCAGGCAGACTTTAGCACAGCGCAGAAGGATTAATTCTCAACACAGAGCAAGGAATGTATAAGTATTTAAACTGAAAATTCCCTGCTCTTTTAAAATGGCAAGATATTTGAATTAAAATACCTTCTGAGCTAACATGCATTGAGTTGAGCGTGCCTGATAGCTGCTGTAGTGTGTGTGTGTGTGTGTGTGTGTGTGTGTCCATGCATGTGGATGCGCGCGTGCGTGCGTGCGTGCGTGTGTGTCCATGCATGTGGCACCACAATCTACTGTTGCTGGCTGCCTATGATGGTGGTGATGATGTTAGGTTGAGATTTCATTATCTGACTCTACAGATTTGATGAAATAATGAACATTCTAAGATCCAAAAGTAATAAAATTCCAAACCACTGAAGTTCAAAGTACAAAAAAAGAGAGATTAATCAGAAATGAGATGTCTTATGGAGAAAGGGGCAACGATCCTTTTCATCTTCTGCTTCTCCCATCCAGCCAAATGAAATTGGTCTTCTTAAATTATTGGGCCAATAGTTTCCTTCTGGTAAACAGTCATAGAGGGAAGAAGGTAGTCCCGTTTGCTGGGCTCCCCAGCAGAAGTGTGCAGATTTGTGTTTTTGGACTACAATGCCCAGAATTCCCCACACAGCATAGCTGTATCACTTTACTCCCTCATATGACACCCCAATTATTTCTGCAGCCATCTTCTCCATCCTTCTCTTTATTCATTATCTATCACTGAAGGTCCACTTTGTGTTGTTTCTCCCAAACGTGTCATTTTTCTCTCACCTTTTTTGAGCCCAATTCTTTTTCATGTTTTAAGAATGTGTGACATCTCCATGAATTTATTTATTTCTCTCATCAGTTCATCTATCTGCTGTTGATGTTCGCTGGAAAGAGAAAAGATGGTCCAACAAGAGGTTGTTCTCCCATAGCAAAAACATGACACGATCAGCACACCCTGAACACTTACCATGATCTGGTAGGCCTCCTGCAGTTCAACTATTTGTTTAAGAGGTGTGCCAATTGTTTCTGTTAATTCAGTTAATGCCAATGTACTTAAGATACTCCGGTCGTGTAATTTGTGGGAATAGTTAGTTCCAAGAGTAATACCATCTTTGAGGCTTCCCCAACTGAAGAGGGCAGGTGATATTTCTTCAATTGAACTTGAGATTTACTCCTTTCGGAATGAAGCCTACGTTTGCATCTCCAACTCACAACCCAACCAAGCTTGCAGTCATGCACAGAGTAAATCTGATTCAATCCCGCTGGCTTCTATGCAACTTATTCTATGATATAACACATGCCTTCCTCAGCTGGCTTCTATGCAACTTATTCTATGATATTACACATGCCCTCCTCAGAAATCCCGTATTTTTCCATGTATAAGACTATATTTTTGTCTAAAATCTTTAGACTAAAAATAGAGGGGAAATGCAAGTAAGCTGAGGAGAAAAACAAGTGGAGGGGAAAGCAGGGATCAAAATGATCCTGCAGGGCTTTGATCCCTGCTTTCCC